ATAAATATAAGCGCCTGGTATAAGTACGTTTATATTTATCTACTGTATAAATATACTCTGTTTTTGCGGTTGATTGAGAAATGCGCTGTTTCAGATATGAAATACTTTCTTCTACGGTGATGAGAAAACATTGTAGATGACGATTGGTCTTCCAAGGATGATGCCATAGTAAATCGACTATACTGTTATTGAGTATTGTGTAATTAAAGAATGCAGGTTTCTCTGGTTCTGCAAGATATAGTTTGAATAAAATCTTTATAATGTAGAACAAAAACTCAAGTTGTTTGCTTATGTGTATTTTAGCAGTAAAAACAAACAAGAGCAAAGTATAGTACAAAATAAATAAGGACTATAAAAAAGTATTTTTGAGTACTTTTCTAGTGACACACGACATGTACGTACAAAAAAAATTATACTGAGCATAATGTCACATTAAAATAAAGACAAAAATTTTTAAAATATATATGTATACAAGGTGTTCTCAGAATTGTTATGACATCTCTCGTAGGCAGGTAAAAAGAATCGAAACTGAGTCAAAAAGTTTTGACCTATTTTTTTCTATTCATTATTTGTCTATTATTTATACTAAAGGAATAATTATTGAGTAGATCAGGCCGATCTTTAGCCAGGCGATGATTTTTAGCCACGCGCACGTCAGTGAACCGCGCGAAGCGCTCACACACACAGGCGCGTGCCTCACTGACGTGCGCCTGGCTAAAGATCGGCCTGATTTACTCAATAATTATTTCTTTAAGTATAAATAATAGAACAAAAATAGTTCAGCATTTTTTGACTCATTTTTACTCTTTCTGTTTGGTTACGAGAGATGTCACACCAATTCTGGAACACTTTGTATATATATATATAGAAATGCGCTTATATTTATACGTATTGTGTACGTTTGACTTTTTAAGTAGAATATAATTTATAAAAGTAATAATAGAAAACTGAAAGTTATGCAAAAGTTTTAAAAAGTAACGACATGTACATGTCAAGTCTGTTACTTTTCACTTACTTGTAATATTAAACATTTCCTGAAATACATTAGCCGGTGATCTCGCATCTGTATCATTTTTTTTTATCTCCGAAACCTATAACATATTAGTTTAATTTGTGTAGTATTTTAATATGGCATACATTGTTTTATTAATATATAGTTATTTAAAAATATAATTTGTTTATTACATTTTTTATATATAAATTCGTTTTCCACTGCAAAATAAATAATTTGAATGTTTTTGTTCTTACCTGAATGTTGGAACATGGTTCATGAACTAGATATAATATTCTGCAGATATAATCTTGCCACAAATCACAGAAGGTATTTATATTCACTTTAACGGAATAGGCATATTGATTGCAATAAGTAGTAACGTTATAATAAGAATCATTATTTTTTAAGGTTAAAAGTGGACGTAACCATCTCAAGTGTAATATAAGTGGCACTGAACGAGTATCAATCTCAACAATTTCNAGATTTGCTATTGCAGGTGGAGCTATTGGATNGATGTTCTTTTTAATACACGGNTTTAAAAAATAGAATGTAGAAGTAATAAAATAAAAGTATGAAATATACCTGTGGNTGGNGTTNTGAAGTNNNNTTNTTGATAAACTGAGGAATTCTCTGTACTATTATATTCTCTTATTACATAAACAGTTGCTCGATATACCTCGTTACTAAGTAGTGGTGGATTCAGTATAGTTAAGTCAATATACCAGCGCGATGTAAATTCAATTGCACTGAAATGTTTTACAGCTGTACTAACTCCGCTAATTTTTATTTTAGCGTTTAATGGTCCCGAAATCGTCGAGCAATCTTTAGGTGGCTGCCATGATAATGTCCAATTATGTGCTTCTAAGGGTGTAAACTTTTCTGTTGGTATGTCTACAATAATATTGATTATTAAAATTTTAACTCAAACACAGTGTTATACATACAAATGTATTATTACTTTGTTATATATTAAAGTCAGTAATAAGTATTTATGAGAAATAACAATATTTTATACGTACCAGATTTGTTTGTATTAAAAGTTATTTCTCCGCTATAATTGCTATTCAGAGATTCATATCCTGTCACTTTTGCTGTGTAAGAAGCGTACGGATGTAAATCTGAGAATGTGATTACTGTTTTGGATGTAGTATAGGTTTTACTAGGTGCAACCGATGTGGTTTCATTTAAATCTTCACAACCATAGTACACAGTAATCTAGGAAACATGATCATACACAACCATAAATTTATTAATAAAGTAATATTCTAAATAGTGTAATTAAATTTCCAATTTTTGTGTACACATATGCAAAAGTCAGCAGAAGTGTTTTTAGCTTACTAACGTCTAAAATCATTAATACTGATACTTTCAAACATATGTTACGTAAACTACAGGTGAAACTCGGTGCATGCTACATCGTTTCGAATCAAATTTCAATATATATAAAAGATTTACTAATTTATATAATCAAGACTGTATTATTTAATTATAATATAATAAAATCATAACGCGTTTAAAAGACAATCAACTTAATATCAAGAAAACAAAAAATGTTTCTATGTATGTCGAATTTTAAACATGTAAACGTTCAAGATACATAAAGTTACCTTTAAGTTTATTTCATACCGCACTATGCTTGAATAATCTGGAGAGTTCCATTTCAGAGTGACTTGTGTGCTCGAGTTTGCAAAATGTTGAATATCTAATACTCTTGTTGAAGCTAATGTTATTTATAAAATGTTAGAGAAACGTACTTATGTTATTTATAAAATATTAGAAAAACGTACTTATGCAATATATGAAGTTTTCATTTGTGAAATTTTTCAATCTACTACAATCATCAGAATAAAGACAAAAACTTACCGCTTCGTAATGTACGAATATTAGTGAGAAATATAAAGTTTTGTTTTATGGTTGTATGAGCAAGTCGCGGATGACTTACAATCACATCGAAAGCTGTATAAGGTGGTAAACCTGACACTTTATGAGGAAAAGTCATAACTGTTGAGTTAGAAAGATTCTCGCCTGTATTTCTATTTTGAAGAGTTACATAATACCAATGTGGTGAACATGGAAATAAGTGCTAGTATAGAAAAAAAAAAAATCAAGATGGTATATTACTTCAATACCACATTCAATACATACTAAAGTGCATATAAAGTTACGTTAGAAGTTATGTTAAATAAATAGCAAACTATGTACGTACGTGTGAATTGTTTTGCCAATCAATACTTATGCTGTTTTCCGTAGACAGTACGTTGAAAGTTTGTATCGCTGTAGTATGACAAAAAAGATATCAATATTATAAAAGTGAGTATATACTATAAAAAAAGAAGAATATAGAAAAACTTTTGCATAAAACACGCGCACAATATTGCTGGCAAAGAGTACATAAACAAACTTTACAAAAAATAAAGTTAATTATTATGATAATATCTAGTACTAAATCATAGATTTCTATATTAAATTGTGTATTATATGTATTTTTCTATACGGTTATGCATGTTTAGACACAAAACTGATTTATTTTTTATCATGCTACTTATTATATGTTATATAAAAATAAATATGTAATTATATAATAATTTGACAGATCTTATAAATTTGCACGGAACTAAACTTTATGAGATATGATGCTTTTCTTCGTGATGAATTGCTTGCAATCTTTAAGATGTAAACATTTTTCGAGTTTTACTACAAAGAAGTTTCGCGTGTTACTGAGTTAAGAGTGTAATATCGATAATAGAAGCTATACTATTAAAGAAGTCAAATGCTGCTTCAACTAAAGTGTGTTGAAAATTTTCAATGTAAATACATATAAACAATTAATTGCAAAATATAAATAAAACAATAATATTTCTTAAAGGAATCCGTTGGACAATATAAATACGAGATGCAGTTAGAAGATAAAAAATGCGAATATAAGTAAAACAAATGATAAATATAGTAATAAGCGTATAGTAATCTGTGCATATATATTTGATTAAAAAATAATTAACTTTACAATTTATAAAGTTTTTTTGTGTCCTTTTTGTCAGCAAAATTGTGATGCGCGTGTTTTATGCAAAGATGTAAAACTTTATACACAAGAGAAAAAGTATCGATACTAACGTTCGCACGCAGTTTCCACAGTTGTCCAGTTGCTTTGAATTATTGCATTTCCGGCAAATAATATGCACTTGATTGAATAAACAGAACCAGGATTTAACTTGGTGAAATATCCCGTCAAATGTGTCATATTTTGAAACAGTCTATTCCATGATTGTGAAGAAGTGTACTTATTTTCTCCCTGTAAAAAATAAATTAAAAATTTTTTCAGCTTACTTTTTGTTTGCGTAAAAGGACGTGGATATTAGAGTATTAAAATAGGTTTTATTATAATAAAGTATTATCGTAACATATCAGAATTATACTAAAGTATTATTTTATTATAATAAAGTATTATCAAAAAAACGGTTTTTGTCCATTATAATAAAACTTAGTAGAAAGTAGCATTTACCTCAATAGTAAATGAATACTTTATCTTTATTTGTTCATATTCTTTTTTCCATACTATAGGAAGTTCAGTTTTGATGCTTGTTGAATTGACAAAGACAATTTTAGGTACTGTGAGCTTCTTTATACCTTAAAAGTTAATATAGCATTTGTTTGTTTAACAGCTATTATATTGATAAAAGTGTCTGAGAAATATAAAAGTAATGTACTTTAAACTAAAAAAAGTACTAAATTACCTATATGACATAAAGGTGGCACGTAAATAATTTCTAAGCTGTTAACGCATTTGTTAACACATTCTCCAGTTATTTTGTTACATCCAAACGATTCAGACGATTTGCATAAATCGCAATTTTTCTTACAATCATAACCATACCAATTGTCGTCACATACTGCAATTACATGTACAGAAAAGTGCATTATATCGTGCGGTTCCAGGAGAAGTATTTCTTGGGAATTTCTCTTTCTGCTGCTCCTATTACCGCGCGCCGTTCTCCTTCGATCTGAACCGGTGGCAGAGACCAAAGAAGGACTGACGCGCTGTAGTAGGAGCAATCAAAAGAGAAGTTTCGAAGAAATATATGTTTTAGAACCGCATGATATGGTGCACTCTTGTGTGAATGTTATTAATGTGTATTACTAGTGTGTTATATTAAAATATAATAAAACTGTAAGTGAACTATTCCAATTTACTTACCATCAGAACATGTATCGCCTTGAAATCCTGGATAACATAAGCAACCGGTGTTGTAACAAATTGCAGTTCCTTTGCAGTTAGAAGAACTATCTAAATCATGTTTGCAGGAAAAGGAACATTCTGGCCCAATTTTTCCCTCAGGACAAACTTTGTCATCTGTGAGATAGGATTATAGTAACCCAAGTATTTTATACATATTATATTAGAAAATATTTTGTAAAATGTTATCAATTACAAATACAATATTATTGTGTATTGTTATTCAAAACAACTTCTAAAAATATAAAATGTTACATCCCAGATAACATTTTGCGTGCAAAATCGTATTCGAGTGCGTCGTCATATAAACAGCATATAATCAATAAACCTAGACAACATTTTATACGTGAATATTCAGTCATCACACAAAGACAACTTATTCGTCCTAAGTAATACACTGTCAAATTAAGAGTAAATAACTTGCAATATGTTAGCAATTTGCGTGTTATTTATTGGTATAGTGGATAGATATTAGATAGTTTCTTGTGCGCAATATGCACGCGTGTGCGCGATAAAATATGTTCACAAAGAAAATTCAGGCAAATCACATACAAGATTTACATATTTAACGCGCGCAAAACATGCACGCAAAAAAATGGTATTTAGGATGTAATAATAAAAGGGTTAATAAGTACCTAGATCTATGCTGATTGTTGGTTTTGATAAAGAACTTACGACAGTATTTTTATTGAAAAATAACTTTTGGCATGTTACATTCAACCACGAATTAGATTCATTGTTTATTTGCGAAATAACTCCTTTTCTCAAAACCTCTAATATAAGAGAAAAACATAAACCATAAAAAAGATTAGTATAAAAAAAATGATAGTGACAATGTCCTGGAAAGTTTAATTCTTTCACTTAGTACATAGTGTTACATATAAATATACAAAATCAAAACTGTGCATATATATGGTTGTACCTTTATTGGGGCATTTACGAACATCGGCTATTGCCCATAACGGAGTGGGATTAGGCTTTGTGAGTTTGGGAATTACATGGATTTTCACACCACCACTAAAGTTGACCGCTGAAAAGTTTTCATTAAATTTAATGAGTTGCCACATAGGTAAGCCATGAATCGCAGCATTTAGTGAGCCTTTAGCTGTTACAGATTTTAATATTGTATTCGTCGTTGAATGAATTATCTCAACGTCTGCATCACATTCTGCGCACAAGCCTAGTAATAATTGTATGCATATCTTTAGAGTATCAAAATGATAAATAGGACTCATTAAAATTGCATTCTTGTCAACTGTGTGCAGAAAAGAATCTGAAACGCAATATTTATATGTGAGTTTCATTTAAAGAGTTTATTTTTTAGTACAGTCAATTAAACCATTCTATATCATTTTTGCTGTTTAGAAATATTATTAGTTTGAAAATTGCATGCATAGAGAGAAAATACCATATATCTATATATATGTATATATATATATATATATATATATATATATATATATATAAACGTCCTTAAGAGGATCCTAAACTGAATCTGTTTTATCGATTGAATTTGCGGCGTATGGCGTCAGATCGTCGTAATAATTCTTTAATATAAAAAGTTGTACGTAGAAAACCAACTGCGTCCCGTTTTCGGAACAACATAAAGAACAATATAGAGCTCTCAGAAATGTTTTTAGAAGGTTAGTGTAAATAAATAGTGTGCGTGAAATGATGAATAAATAGTGTGTGTATTACAATATTGTTCTGAAAATATTCACGCGCACTATTTATATTCACTATTCATATTAGGCTTCTAAACGCATTTCTGAGAGCTCTATATTGTTCTTTATGTTGTTCCGAAAACGGGACGCAGTTGGTTTTCTACGTACAAACTGCATAACTTTTTATATATTAAGCGAATATTACTACAATCTGACGCCAAAAGCTGTAAACTCAATCGGTAAATCGACGGAGTTCGACCGTCAATTTAGGATCCCCTTAAGTATCGTAAGCAAGAAATTATTGTAGAAAAAAAAACAAAGAAAGCATTTTAAGGATTAAAGTGTATATTTTTAAATATTTTAGAAAAAATTTTACAAACTTCTTATCTTTCAAAATCCAGAAAAAAACATTTTGTGTTTTTTAAATTATCTAATTGCACGTAAGTCCAGGAAGAAAAAATCTAAACTTTTACAAAATGCATTGTATAGATGCATCTTGTAAAGAAGCTGTTGTAATTTGTGATATTGTTTTTTAAGTTTTAATAAAGGCTTTGTTATCTAGAAGCAAACAGTAAAAATATATAATTTTAATAATCAAAATTTAGCAATTAACGATTGACTGAGAATTAATCTTGGGCTCTGACGTCTTTTAAACAAATAAATGAATATACAAATAGTTGTGAAGAGCCGTTTGCTGGATGTTATGCGGAAAATATGTCTATACATATATGTGTGTGTACACACTTATAAACGAATCGTTAACACATCATATGTTAATAACATCCAGCGAACGGCTCTTTACGATTATATTTATATATTTATTTAATCAAAATCTAATTTTTTTTGAGAACTAAAATTAAATAAAATATTCTCAAAAAACAACCTCACGTTGTGACAGTATACACTTCTAGCTTTAATCTCTTTCTTTAAATGTGTTTTTTCTACGATAATTTACGGTTAAGATATAGCGAATTAAAAAATGTCCAATTTGAAGCAAATAGAAAATGTTCCTTATTGTTTTTAGCTTCATGTAAATACTTTTCATATAAAGTTAGAATAATATGATTAAATGGTGTTTTTGATTTATTACTTAAACAATTTTTAATATATCTTTGAAGTAAAAAATTATATAGAAATCAAAAACAACAAAGTTTGAAGTTCTAAATTTATGTTGTTGAGTTCTACAAAGTAGAAAAAATTGTTTGTAACATTACTATGTATATTATATTGTCACGCACACATAACCTAATGTTTATCAATTATTTTTTGCATATTTAAATAAAAGTTTTCAAGATTTTACTGTAAATAACTTATTCTCTATTATGTAACTCTCATAACAGATTCGTGTTTGACGAACAAAACTACTTTGGAAGAAACTATTTGGACTCGTCATATTACAATTTGTCCGACAACGTTTTGCTTTGTTTAGAATAAAGTAAAGTATCTAAAAAAAGTAATTTATTGGATGGAATACAAATACTTACAGTTATGAAAGCGATACAACACTTTTTTGAAATTTTCTGTTTTGATGATAAAGAAAACGAAATTGTGTAAAGTTGAGTTATACGTTTCTGTATCTTCACATGTAAGCATTCTGTTCTTATCGTTAGTATCATAAACAGTAACATTTTTTTTCCAATAATCCCATGAAATGACAAATGTTTGCCATTCAGTTTCAGATAATGATAGTAACTAGAATAATTATAAATGCTTTTATTACATATAATGCTTATATAATTATCTTATTTGTATTACATTCTCTAAACTTTTTTTTTTAATGATATCTCGTTTTTAATGTTTTAAGAAATATTATTATATGTAATCAACATATAAATTCAATTATATTTGAAATACAAGTAGGTTTTGTTACATTGCAATTGAGAAATTTTTTTATTTATGTATAAAAAATTTTGAGAAGTACATAAGTAAATAATTGTACGTATATCTTACTCTTTTGCGAATTACGTTGTAAGAACATTGTTGATCCAGATTCATGAAATCAAATATATTGCAATATTGAATAGTGGAATCCGCGCTATCGTATTTTAATGTTATCCGAAAACAACTTGTACCAAATGAATCAGATTTAGAATATTTTAAATTAATACCACAAACAAAAATCTGCACGTTCTGCCATGAACGAATTGAAATAGACATTGCCCCTGATTGTGGGTATAGTCTTAATGATGACTCAGTGAAATAATTGAATTCTTGGAATTCTGAAAACATTCAGTGTATATTATTTAAAACAATAATTACATCATTCTACAGTTTGCAAACATATAATGACGCAGTATATTCAATACTTTGAATTAATAACGGATGTAAGCTTTTACACACTGTAAATGATCTACCTTCCCATCTTTGATCAAATACCGGACCCATGGGTGTTTCCATAGAATTTGTAAGATTCCAGTTTCTTCGATCCCAAGATTCTAAACAACCTATTGTTGCGTTCATTTTGCACGTTATCGAGGTATTGTATAGATGACTACTGTGAAACTCTACAATAATATGCGCGTTTGCGGTAAGCGTGTATTCTCGAGAAGCATGATAACATATAAAATGTTTGGCTAGTGAACTACAACTAAAGATATTAAATGATTCTTAAATTAAAGTAGAATCTATTTATATAGACAGTTTTAAACGTGCATTTAAGAACATAAAAGTGAAACAACTTTGTTAAGAAAGTTTATTGTAAACAGTGTAGATGTAAAACTAAAACTTGGCGATGTTTATGAAATGTTGTAAGAATATAATAACTTACGCAAATCAGTACGATTTTTTTCTTGCTGATATCGAAGAATTAAATTGTCATTCCATACAAGTGCGCCGCCGTCGTCTTCTGAGAGACATATATATTTTCTTTCACTTACAGATGAATTGGTATGATGTGATTCTCCACGTAAAAGAATTACTTTTCCACAACTGTGAAATATTTGGGCAGCGAAAAGTAGATATCTTAACACAATCTGCATTGTCATTAAATATGTTCCACTTTCACGATCGTCATTAAATATGTTCCACTTTGTCGATCTTCATAAGCGATAAGGAAGGTCTTTAGAAAAAAATAATCGAATCAAAATAAATAGAAAATTAATCAATTATTTCAATACATATATATTTTTCACTATAAGTTAACACAATAATAGAAACACAAGCACAGCAAATATACTAGTACGAAAACTCGAATAAATCATGATTTTCTATGTGGATCTTGCACTTTTAATCTTGACCGTAGTAAACAAAATCGCTTTTATAATGGTTTCACGAATCGCAACGTGGATTATATATTTCACAAAAGAATTAGTTATACAAAAACATTTCCTGTTTCTTCGATCAAAACTAAAAAATAATATTAATAAATAAAAAAAATAATTTTTTAAATCTTTTATGTATCAAGGATTAAACACAAAACTGCAAACTACCAATAATAATTTACATATAGTTACAAACTTCGCAGTGTTACCGCGACAAGTAGTCTACATTGTAGTAAGTTTAAGAAAGCAAACTAATGGAAAGGAAATCAAACTTCCTTTAATGAATCATCAGGTTTCATATCTGTTAAACTCTTAATTGACGCTTTAGGAACACTCATTGCCATGGTCATTAACAAATCAGTAGGACTTTCCGAATAATATTTTAATTGTATATTGTATAGATACAAATGTGTAAAAAGTTTATTTTATTATATAGAGACTATTGATTAATATAGTATTTATAATTTTATGATTTAGTTTCTCGCCTGAACACATCTTGAAAAATATTTATATTAGTAATATTATTTATTATATATTAGTAATATATTGTAATGATAAAGAATTCTACAAAAAATATGTAGAACGCTTTAGATTCAATTTTTGATTAAAATGTTTTTTTTAATGACTTTTGATTAAAATGTTATTTTGTAATGACTTTAAAATTTATAAGATGGCTGGTAAAATTTATAGATAAGTGATGCTGCCACTTATTTGATGTAAAATAAATAAATTAAATTATTATGGCAAATGTGGCCATATTATGGCAATATAGCGAAAAACATTATCGGAGAGACAAAACAATAAAATGCTCTTTTTAAAAGAAAATATTTAAATTTGCCACAAACAAAGAAATTCAAATTTGCATCATATTATATTATTAAAACTATATTATACTACAAGATATATCAATAACTATTCATTTTTGGCAGAAATATTGAAGATCGTAAATTTTTAGGAGCCATATGTATATTTATTGTAGTTAACTGTGCAAATAATATTTATTTTGACTAGATATTCTCTGTACGGAATCTAAAATAACTATCTCAGATAACTATTACGATGATGGTATGAAACCTATGTCTAACGACCTTTCGGTATATATTTTTTTTAATTTAGCAGTCAAGCGTAGTTTATTAAAATTTGTTACCATGTACGTATGTATGTATTTACTTATTTATTGTTTCCCAAAAAATTACACAATCATAACCATTACATTATTCTCTTACCAACTAAACAACTTACAAAATTGATAATTTACAACTAATTTTACAACTTACGGCTAACTTACAACTATAATCTATCTAACTTGTCTGCACACACACACACTCTATTTTTAATTTAATTTAATTTTAACTCGCTTCCGGCGCTTCATTAGATCATATCTTTACTCTCCATCCTTCACACCTCACATCCTCAACCTTACTCATAGTGATTCTCAACGTCTCTTTATCCACTCTATTTCATACAACCTTTTCATCTCAATTTTATTCCCATCCCTCTTTTTCCTAAACGTCCCCATTTTTTATTATTTGCAATTTCTCTATTACTTCTTCCTCTTCTCTATTCCTTCCCAGCACTACTTCTATCAACATTCTTATCCTCCTAACTTTCTATCGTTCCCCTCTGCCCACACTTATACCACAAAAATTGATACTTTTTATATTAATTCTAAATAATCTTAATATTACTAATCTAAGTATTACTACTACAGTCGAATCTCGATAACTCAAATCTCAAGAAAAGAGCTAAAATCTTTGAATTGTAGAGGTTTCGATTCATCGAAGTGCACTTTTTCTTTCCGCGGAGCGAAAGAGAATGAACAAAATTTTCGTCTTATAGAGATTTTCGAGTTATAGAAGTTCGAGTTACCGAGATTTGACTGTATTACTAAAGACAGTCGTCTTCTCAGCGTTTTGCCACACCTCCATCTCGTTTTGCGACATCATCTGTTCCAATACTTGTCTCGTTCTTCTGTAAATATTATACACACTGCTTTGTAGATGAAATTGATAAATTATTTTCTACTTAATTACAACTGTTTGATTTCTGGCATAAAAAGATCCAAAAAAATAAGTAAACCGCATGCATTTATATATTTATGTATTAGTATTAATATTTAATAAAGTATTTAATGAAGTAGTATTTAATGAAGTAGAATTAGTATATTTATGTATTAGTATTTAATGAAGCAATATGCTACCTTCGATAAATAAAAAAAACTGTGACAACTATAATAAGCAGTAATATTATAGAAATAGAAAGCCATATTTCGTAAATCGGTGATGAATCTGAAACTTCTCCGATGCTAGTCCATAGTTTAAGCATAGTCATTTCATTAGAAATCCGAAATATTGATCTTTGTTCTTTTAGAATAACTATTATCTCATATGATCGATTAGGCTGCAATGGGCAATTCCTAGCTCCTCCGTAAGTTTTGTTGTCACCAACTATAAAAGTATAATTGTTGCGAGCAATCTCATCTGTCTAAAATAATAAAACATTAACTCTATGTGTGTGTGCAGAAAGAGAGAGAGAAAGAGAGAGAGAGAGAGAGAGAGAGAGAGAGAGAGAAAGTTGATTCAAAAACTAAAAGCAACAGTTTTTCTTTTACCTGCTTTAATTGCTTACAGTTAAAAGTGCGCACTTATTTAGTACTTATNTATTTAATATATCTATTTGTANATAAGTAAATAAATAATTTGTTTATATTGTCTATTTTTATTACTTAACATGNTCAAATGTAGAAATGTTTTTGAAATTATATTAAAATAATACACAAACCGTGATCTCAGCAGCTTGCCATCCGACATCATTCTTTTTTACATTCACCTGCCTTAGTAAATTTTGAGGTATTTTCGAATAATTCTTGCACCGATTAGGTCCTTTGACAATAATGTGCATACCACTATCATACGTGTCATTAAGAACATGCGGCACTTTTAACAANATCGTAAAACTAANTTCATCCGGTACGTCGTGTAAAACGTCATCGAATCGTGCGGTTGACGGTGTCTGTACATTTACATAATTATATAAACTGGTCTCGTTTGTGATTGTCATAGATCGAATATAGATTCGATACANTGTCGATGGGTATAAATGTAAACGCTCGGTATAATTACGCATATATTCTTCTACTGAATATTCATATTTCTTTTCCTTGGTTGATTGAGAAATGCGTTGTTTTAGATATGAAGTACTTTCTTCTACGTTGATAAGAAANCATTGCAGGTGACGACTTGTCTTCCAAGGATGGTACCATACTAAATCGACTATACTGTTATCGTGTAATGTGTAACTAACAGATGCAGGTTTGTCTGGTTCTGCAAAATAGGTTTACTATAATCTTTATTACAAACCTTATCATTCTTAGAAAACCAAACTTAAAATTNTTTTCTCATTTGTATCTTAACAGTACTAAAAGTAAGAGCAATATATATATATATATATAATATAATACGCTTATTAAACATTGATTGTAAAAAAGTGTTTCTTGTTACAGTTGTTGCTGCACTCGGATGTACGATAATGAAATGAATACTACAACAGTGTGAATTGTAAAAAAAGAAGTTTAAAAAAGTACATTATATATAGATATTGTGTTTAAGTTCTTAAATGGAATGCAATTTACACTACTAAAAATAGAAAACTAGAAGTTTTGAAAAAGTTGTAGAAAGTTTACCANATGTATGGTATGTATCTTACTNCCCTTACTTGTAATAGTAAACATTTCCTGAGATACACTAGCAGGTGGATGGTAATCTGTATCGATATTATTCATCTCAAAAACCTGTACCATAATATTTCAACTTGTGTAGTATTTTAATATACATTTTTTATGAACTTATATGTAGTTTTTCATTTATTATATGTATAGTTCTTTTTGTAGCGCAAAAAAATATTTAGAGTATTTTTATTCTTACCTGAATGGTAGAACATTTTTTGTAAAGGTTTACGCAAACATAATCATCCCATAAATTACAGAATTTATTAATTGTCATTTTAATAGAAGTGACATAATCATTGCAATAATTGGTAACGTTATAATAACGAACTTGATTTTTTGTAGATGAAAGTGGAACTAACCATCTCAAGTTTAATATATGTGGAACTTGACGAGTATCAACCTCAATGAGTTCTAGATTTGCTATTATAGGNGGTGCTGTTGAATCNATTTTCTTTTTAATACTAGGTTTTAAAAAATAGAATGTAGAAGTAATAAAATAAAGTATGAAATATACCTGTGGNTGGCGTTCTGAAGTTNAATTCTTGATAAACTGAGGAATTCTGTGTANTATTATATTCTCTTATTACATAAACAGTTGCTCGATATAGCTNGTTACTAAGTAGTGGTGGATTCAGTATAGTTAAGTCAATATACCAGCGCGATGTAAATTCAATTGCACTGAAATGTTTTACAGCTGTGCTAACTCCGCTAATTTTTATTTTAGCGTTTAATGGTCCCGAAATCGTTGAGCAATCTTTAGGTGGCTGCCATGATAATGTCCAATTTTGTGCTTTTAATTCTGTAAACACTTCTGTTGGTATGTCTACAAAATGTTGATTATTATAATTTCAACTCTCAAACACAGTGTTATACATTAATACATATTGTTATATATTAAAGTCAATAATAAGTGTGTATAAAAANTAACAATATTTTATATATACCAGATTTGTTTGTATTAAAAGTTATCTCTGCGCCATAACTGCTATCCTGAGATTCATGTACTGTCACTTGTGCTGTATAAGACGCATATGGATGTAAATCTGAGAATATGATTTNTGGTNTGTTTGTAAATTTTTTAATAGGTGCCACAAATGGTGTAGGTAAATTTAAATCTTCACAACCGTAGTACAANATAATCTAAAAAGAAAAANCATTATTACGATAAATATTATTATTACTANGTTAATAATCTAAATAGTGGTAATTTATTTTGGTGTTCAAAGTTAGAAGCCTTTATTTTCATAAAATGGAATAATCGCTTTTTAAGTACTCATAGTTTNTATAACNTACGTAAACAATAGATTCTTAAAGAAGTAATTATAACAGAAAAATACTACTTTCTTTTTACTGTAGTATTCTTTTATACACACCACGNTTTCTTTACAACTTATTGCTCTAAACACAATGATAGCTAGCCAACAGCATCTTAGTATTAAATTACTCTTGAGACCTTGATGAAATGAACTAATAAAATGTTCTCAAAGAAAAGTATAAAATTGACACTAATTTGATTCACACTCAAAGATCATTTTTAACATTATTATTCATAATTTTTTAGTAATATTAGTATTTTAAATATTAATTATATATTATTCTAGTTAAATAATAATTATATTTTAAATATTAATTATTTTACATAATATATTACATATTATTAATGCAACACACTGCGAAAACATTAAATATATAGAAAGATACCTTATCAGTATACTACGTAACTTGAGAAAACTAGAATAAGCAAGCGAAAACGATATGCACGCTACATCATCTTGAACCGAACTTCTATACAAAGTGTCTGATAAAGATCGTTCGTAGGCAGGTAGAAAAGGTAAAACTGAGTCAAAAAGTTGTAAACCATTTTTTTCTATTACATATAATAAAAGAGTAATTATTGAATAAATCAAGCCAATTAGCGCCGAACTTTAGCCGGGCGTATGTCAGTGAGTTGGGCTGAGCGCTCACGCACACAAGCGCGTGGTTCACTGACGTGCGTTCGGCTAAAGGTCGGCGCTGATTGACTTGATTTATTCAATAATTACTCTTTTATTATATGTAATAAAAAAAATGATTCAGGACTTTTCGACTCAGTTTTACTTCTCCTACCTACCTACAAACGATAATAAGGTCCTTATCAAACACCTTGTATATTTGAAAGATATAATACCTTATATAATACTGTATTACTTAAGTATAATACAAACAATGCGTCTAAAAGACACTTAAACTAATATCTAAAAAACAAAAGATGTTTACATATATGTTGACGTTTGAACACGTATAACTACAAGTTACATAAAATTACCTTTAATG